TCTCTAATGTAAGAACCAAGAAGCACAACTAAAAAGTCAGCAGAAAGGACACAAAAGAGTACTAAAAATTATTTGGTTTACTTAAAAGACAGAAAGACACTGAGAAACTAAGAGGAAAAAAAATAACGAATGGAAACGACACCAAGATACACAAATACAAACGTTAATTAAATGCACATACAGTAATTAAAAGTAAATGGACTAGACATACCAATTAAAAGGTTGATATTATCAGCTTGGATAAAAAAGCTTGGGGCAACTACATATTGTTTATAAGAAACAAGCTATAAAGAAAGGTAGACAAAATAGGGAAATACATACTGCTGCAAATACTAAGGGTAAGAAAACTGTTATGGTCAAAATATGACATGATTAAAGGTAGATTTAACAAAAGATATGCCAGATTTCTAAAAACTATAAAACATTTCTGAGTGAAGTTAAAGAATATCTAAACAAACAGAAAGATAGACTATATGCATAGGTGGGACAAATTAATATTGCCTAGAAGTCAATTACCTCCAAACTGATTTATTGATTTACATAATTATAATCAGTATCCCAGCAAGATTTTTTGTGGACATTAAAAGCTAGTTTTGAAGGATACATAAAATTATATAGAAAAGTAAAGGTGCTAGAATAGTCAGAATATCTTGAGAAAGAACAAAGTTGAAACACTTGCTTTTCCTGATTTCATAACTTATTAGTTGCTATGTTTTGGTATTAATTGGTGAAATGGATCAAGAAGCAATGAGAGAGAATAAAAGGTCCCTAAGTAGCCCCACATATATTATAAATAAAAAATTTATGATTGAGCGTTAAAGCAATCCGCCTGTGCTAAAATAATTTTGTATCACATGAAAAAAGAAATAAATCCAATACCTCTTTCACAACATATGCAAAAACTTGCTAAGATTGATCATTGACTTAAATGTAAAGCTTAAAATTCTAAAGCTTTCATAGGAAAATGTCGTTGAGTATGTTTATGACCATGGAATAGGCATGATTTCTTAAAGAAGATACAGAATGCACTTAGAGAAAAAGTAAGAAAATGATGAATCACACTTCATCAAATTATAACATTTCTGTTCATGGAAAGAAAATAGTCATGGGATGAAAAAACAACAATAAAAAGACGGTAAGTGACTGTGTAGAAATACGAGCATAGACTGTAGAACCCACTACAAAGGTCAAACAAATTTAAATCAGATCTACACAACTGGAAAACCTAAGGACAGATGTGTCTAATTTTGTATTAAATTTTGACCCAGCTTAATTATATCTATTTGACCCAGTTCAATTATATTCCATCACTGACTTCAAAAAGAATATCCAACACTCGAAGCCGAGGTGCCACATGCATTTAAGCTGTTGCTACAGGCTGTTCAGCTTGCCTTCCTCCCTTCACTGCTGACTCCCCCCTTAACTCTTTGCAATCCAACCTCTGTATTTAAAGCAATAAATCCTGAATCTGTTAGGCAGCTAACTGCCCAACTCATCATCCCCTTTTCAAGCTTTCTTGACTACTCTCAGCATCTGAATCTATTTACATTCCCTCCTTCTTGAAAGTTTGTGTCTCCTGGCTGCCTGATCTAGCCTGTTCTATTCTGTTTCTTCACATGGCCAGCATCTGTTACTTGGGCTCATTTGGTCTCTTAGCTCAACACAAGCTGATGGCTGGGTCACCAAACTGGGTGGGGCCCAAGCCCTGCCATCAGGAATCTCAATTAAGTTGCCCTGCTTCTCCCTCAATGTAGCCTCTCTCCTACTCAAGCTCCCTTTAAACACAAGCATGCCTGAAGTTGTCATCCACTCAGCTCTTGTCTTCTGTAGTTTTCCTTCGGGGATTTCAACTATTGTCTTTGGAAAAGTCTTCTGAAAGTGAAGGTGTTAGTCGCTCATTCATGTCCGATCTTTGGGAGCCCACGGACTGTATGTAGCCCACCAGGCATCTCTGTCCATGGAATTCCCCAGGCAAGAATGCTGGAGTGGGTAGCCTTTCCCTTCTCCAGGGGACCTTCCCAATCCAGAGAACGAACCCAGGTCTTCTAGGTCTTCGGAAAAAAATATGCATTAAGTCCATTCCAAATGCCACCTTTGCAAGAAAACTTTTCTAATTCCTCCTGAGGTCATCCATTTCTTGAAACTAGAAGCTCCTCCCTCTATTCCCAGGTCACACTATGCCTCTTCTAAGCCCCTTATTTTATCTTGTCTTTGAACTGTCTGCCTATATTGTCCTCCACACCAGCCTGGGGCTTCATTAGGCAATGGCTGCTCTTGTTTAGTTCCATCTCCCTGATGTCACCAGGCTTACATGGATGCTCATGACCATACTCAACATACCATTGCCATAATGAGCTGAAATCTACACGCTCAAGGAAAAATCATGACCTCAGCCCATCTTCCCCACCCTTCCAGTCTGTCATCCTTCTTTCTTGAAAGCCAGCTTTAGGAAATAAGATTTGAAGAATCAACAAATGAAAATAATTTTTTTTTCATGAGACATCTCATCTCCCTCTCTAATTAGGCAGAAAATGATGGCTGTATTACTTCTTGGAAGCTGCCTATGATGGGCACTTAAGGGAATCGAAGCAAAAGGAAGAAGAAGGCCAAAGACAACTGTACCCCCACCTCAATTCCCCAATCATTCCCTGTGTGACTTCAGCCCAGTGACTCATCTCCTCAGACTCAGTGAAATAATGTTAATCTTCTCTTTGGTAGTAAGGGGGATATAAACAGGATTTTATACATGTCTATAAATTTATAGTTTTATACTTTCCTTACATATTCTAGTTCTAGTAAGAGGCCACCAGACATGGAAATCCAGTCTATACTTCGCCTTCCTGAAGAAATTATAGCATATCTATAAATGGAGTTTTGATACTATAAGTCATTACCAAAATTTAAAATATTTAAATGTTTTCTTTGGCCACCATGATCTTTCTTTAAATACCATATTAAGAAAATGGCCAAAGTACAAGACTGAGTAGGTCAGAGTCCTTGGGTTGTAGGAGAGAGGAAGAGAGGCCCCTCTGCTCTGCTGGTGGGGAAGGGGATGCCCTGAGATCTTGCTTCGGAGAACACCAGCTGAAAACTACTGCTTTAAATTCCTGTAGATTTTACTTTTATCCCTTTAAAGTTTTCATATTAGACTTGACAAAGAACTCAATATTATTCTTTGTGGAAGCATGGGAAGGCCAAGGTTCAAGAACAGCTACATAGGCAAATGGGGCCACTGAATTCTGGGTGACATTGTAAGAAGCATGCACACACGCATGTGGAATTTAGAACTTCCAAAAGAGTAAAGCATGGAACTCCCTTTCATGAGTTGTACGAGAACGCTGTTTTACCACTATTTTGGCCTTTGTGCATGCTGAATCAAACAGTGTAAAATACATACGACAAGAAGTGGAAACGACCAATTAAAGATGCAAGTAGTAAAATTAGGGTGTTGGAATAATAGGTAGTTCATTCTGCAACAATTTTTAAAATTATTAATAAATCTTCCTGTAATAATAAAGATATGTATATTATAGAAGAGCAGCAAAAGTCACACCAGTAAAAAAAAAAAAAAAGAAAACCCATTCTTTGAGTTCCCAGCTGCCCTCCTTACTAAACCAAACCAAACCCAGCACAGCTCAACCAAACCCAAACAAACCCAGCCAAAACCAACTAAACCCAACCAAATTTAACCAAGCCCAAACAAATCCAGCCAAACCAAATTAAGTTCAGCCAAACCCAGACAAGCTCAGACAAATACAACCAAACCCAGACAAACCCAGCTAAACTCAACCAAAACCAACCACACCCAATCAAATCCAGGCAAACTTAGCAAAATAACAAGAACAACAACAAACTGAGTTAAATCACAAGTGAGATCTCTTTAATTGAATATAATTTGCATTAAAATTTTTTTTCAGAATGTATGAGTTTGGGGAATACTTTTCCTTTTTAAGTAGGTATTTAGGCATAACAAAGATTTTAAAAAGATACCTCCAGAGAGCTTTCGTAGTTTGGTTTGCTGTATCTTAGAAAGTTATTCTAGCATTTACTTAGAAAATCTCTATTAGAAGGTTTAATATGTATGTAAGGAAGTTTCAACTTATTTTTAATATGAATAAAACACTTTAAACTATAGTTTAAACTATAGTTTAAAGCAGATTAAGGCTTGCAACAGATGGTGACTACTGGGACGAAGGACACTTAACTGTGTTTGTTATTGTGGAATTGCAATTCAAAAGGAGGAGAACACAAGAATACGTATAGACACATGAGATCAGTTGCTTAAAATGAATGTGTCACTCATTAATAAACATATTCAAACAATGAACAATATAAGAAAGAATCTCTGTATGTATCCAGTCATGATTCATAAGCCGTTTTCCCTAATTTAAAGTTTTCGATTTAAAAAAAAACCTTTCAAATGAAAGCTGCATCTCAAAATTCTGAAACAGTTCAGTATTATCAAATAATACACAAAGAACAGACAGAGATTACTCAAAACTACAAAATTTCTAAGTCTCACGTCTGGTATCTATCAATTTTCTTTTATGTCTAGTGATATTTGTTTCATATTAATCTGTGTAAATTACTATGTATACCATTTTCTTTGGATTATGACATAATAATTCATGAAAATTATTAGGAAAATACATGATGATGATTGATGTTAGGCCTACAATAACTGATTGCTTCTAAAATCAAAGAAAAGCATGAGCATATTAGATGTTCTTTTAAAAAAAATTTTAGTATTTTAATTAATTAATTAATTTTACTTTACAATATTGTATTGGTTTTGCCATACATTGACTTGAATCCACCACAGTTTAAAAAAATAATATATGAAAAGAAAGAAGGACGTGGTCTTTGAAGACTCAGAGAAATGCAGAGAGACATTTGGATGTGGTTTAAGTATTACCTAACAATCTTTATAACTCCCCTATCAACAAACTATAAAGAAAGTGAAGAGATCTCATCATAATCTTTTAATTTTGGGAACTTACTTTCAAAATCCAGGAAAAAATGTGGGTAGTTTTCAATTTCCCTGGTAAGGACTTTGAGCAGGTTTCCCATCCCAGCAAGCCTAGAAGAGGAAACACAAAACCAAACACCATTAGCAGTATAAAACACATACTTCTTAAAAGGTTAGATATTTTTTAATGATTTGCATACATACCACTGAACCCCTTTAACTACATCAGAAGACCTAAGAGAAAGTATTTTTATACCAGGTGACAAGTGATAAGCTAGCAATTAGTTATTGTTCAAATAATTGGGTAATGGTCATAGGAGGCAGAGTTCAGGTGTATTCTAGAAATCTTTTTTCCCCTTTCCCTTTCACTAATCCCCAGAATCCTTACAGTTAATATTTTATCCTTGCTTTATTTCTGTTCCATTGGTGTGGGAACATACCATGTCAATGGACAAGTAGAACAGTGAGGGCATTATTAAATTACTTATCCAGAAAGGTAAATTTCTCAAAGTTCCCAAGGGAAAGAGTTTAGAGAACAGATTTACACTCCTAGGAATCCCTTTTAGCCTATACAAGAGGTCCTGTTTTCCAGGTAAGTCAGAGGTTCCTGCGATTTACCATTTCAATAGTTATGAGATTAGTACTTCATGAAGTTTAAAAATGAAAAGGTATAACATCCAAAAAGTTATTCTCAATGAAACTGCAGCCTGAGGCATTCGCAACAGTGAATCCGACCTACAGAGAAATGCAAATCTGTGATGTATCTGCAACCCCAACCTGAAAGAATAGGGAAAATGTAGTTATTATTGATGACAGAGGATGAGAGGGTTGGACGGCATCATTGACTCAATGGACATGAGTTTGAGCAAACTCCGGGAGATGGTGAAGGACAGGGAAGCCTGGCGTGCTGCAGTCCATGGGGTCACAGAGTCAGACACGACTTAGCGACTAAACTTAACTGATTTAAATAAATAGCAACATGTCTACTGCTCTTAGCTCTAGACAGTAAACCTTCTTCTTCTTCAGGAGGCCATTGTGCCTTCATTCATTCTACACGTATTTATGGAGCTGCGATCTGATGCTGAAGTCATTCCTCTAACTCGTGACTCAGATACCTCAGCTTATGAGGGATCAACTTTAAAAATCACTGGATGAGGATAATGGAGCTCAGGACTGTAATTTTCTATGCATATGGCTCCTGATACTGTTATGTTGCTGTAGGAATTTTTAAAAAATGCCACTGTAAGAAAGATGTGGTGAATGAAAAATAAACAAAAAGGATGCTATGCATACAAATATATAACAAACAGTTCTCCTGGGTGCAGCAGGTGGTATAATATAGTTTCCATAACCCTCCCTCTGAGAAAATACTCACATCCACTTACAGATATCACCCAAGGTCACCCATGTCACTAATGTGAAGCTAGAAGAACTTAGGGAGGACTGCTTGCAATCCTACCTCTGTTTCCTGTTAGCTCTGTTATCCAAGGCAAGGCACTGACTCTCTAAGCCTGTTTTCTCATCTATAAAAAGAGTTTTTGAAATGTATCTATTTCATCAATTCATGGCTATTAATGAGATTAAAGATATAAAATGCCTAGCACAGTACTTCTAAGAAGTGCTCAAGAAACAATATGTGATAATTACCACTGTCATCATTATGATGATTATCTTAACGCCTTCAAATACTTACTCAGAATTCTATGGAAGACAAATCAGAGAGGTGTTATGTGGCTCTAGAGAAGAGAACTAGAACCAATGAGGGAATAACGAGGAAGATCTTCATTCAATGTCGTGAAAACATTTCTCACCGCTAGGGTTGTCAGACTATTGGGTGATTTGCCCTGTGAAATAGTGAGTTTCCTGTCACTGGTGGTGGTGAAGTAGAAATTAAAAATATTGTGAAAGTGAGTTGGGCAGAAGATTGGGATATATACTTCTTTGACCTTGCCGATCTTGAAGTATATGAATATTTGGGCATGCGTGCGTGTGTGCTAAGTCGCTTCAGTTATGTCCGTCTCTGTGCAGCTCTATGGACTGTAACCCGCAAGCTCCTCTGTCCATGGGATTCTCCAGGCAAGACTACTGGAGAGGGTTGCCATGTCCTCCTCCAGGGGATCTTCCCAACCCAGGGATCGAACCTGTGTCTCTTTCATTATCACTAGTGCCACCTGGGCATGTGTGCACAAGTACACAGACACAATTTGAGGCAAACACCATGCTCCTCTTGTCCAAAAGAATCTTCCCTCTTTTATATTCTTTCTGTCATTTTTTTTTCCCTCCTTTGCCTTGATTTGTGTTTCCTTTTAAGATATTTTTTGAGCAAATCCCTGTGTGAGACAGGTTCTGCCAAATTAAAATTCACAACTAGTGTAGTCCATCCTTGTCACTGGGCAATATTCACAAACCCTCCTGGGTCTCCAGGAAACAATGTGTTTCCAATTTAATGAACAATTCCAACTCAGACCCCAAGGCAAATTTTGCAGGAAGATGATTCTACTGTTTAGTAGCAACCCCAACTTTCATATAAAATGCCTTAATGGAAGTTAAATATTCTTAATTTCCCTAGTTTTGTGCTATTAACATGTCACAAGAGACCTGAACGAGTTTAGCTTCCTCCTAAAAGTCTGCCTTGTGTAGGATTTTACTGTCAGAGTTCCTGGGTGGGAAATACGTTAAGCCTTTAAAATTAGTAACAGACTGAAACACGCATGGAAATACATCCAAATATTAGCCGGCTGTAGAGTGCTATCTGTTCAGAAGGTTACTTAGTCTGGTTGGCTGATGTGGTCAAATATCCTGAGACGTGATCCTAACAACAGCCAGGGTCAATTAACTGGAACTATTCTAGATTTCTAGATGTTGACATCCCAAACAGGAACTGTCTGGAATGATAAAATTGTGGGAACTTATGTAGCGTTATGGAACCTAGAAAACATGCATTTCAATACAAGCTTCTTGAATAGATAAACAGTTCATCTCCTTCATGGCCAAAAAAAAAAAATTGCTCCCCTCCAAGGGGACAAGAATATACACCTTTTATTGAATGCCTACAGTATGCCTGGCACTGTGCTTGGAGCTTTCACATACTTAAATTCACTAAAACCTTATACAAACTCTTTGGGTAGCTACAACTGTCTTCATTTATTGGAAGAAAAAGAGGCTCAGATGGTTAAGTGTATTTCTAAAGATGATAGGAGAATAAAAGATAAGAGTCACATTTGAACTTGAGGGTTTGGGATCCCAAAGTCCACATTCTTTTCCCCACAAGAAGGAACCTGGGGCTTCAGACCCCTAGGAGGTCCCTGGTTGAGAACGCTGAGAGTCCATGGTCTGCAGAAAGTGTCTGCAGGATAATACAGTACTGTAGGCTCACGATCCTTTTTCTGGGGACAGTCTACAGTCTGTTAAGATTCCAAAGCAGCCTGTTTCTCGCTAGTAATGCTCCATCTACAGGGAAAAACATACTTCTTGAGGAATCCATGCTTTCTTTAGGAAACCATGGGGGGAGGGTAGAGTCTTCCAGAAAAGTTGGCTTCATAGAAGAAGTGAAGTCCACCCAGGCATGAAGGAGCCTGGGAATCTGTAATGGCAGAGAGGAGGTCCCCAGTTGGGGGATGAGGTGTGAGAAGGGAACAGCAGACACAAGTGACTGCTGAAGTCTTCCCCAAACAGAAGGCTTATTCCTCAAGGTTTATTTATTTAATACAATTTTGAAATGGATCTTTACACTTTTTTTTTTTTTCCAAATTAAAGGAGGGCATTTCTCTAGTCTTGGTAGGAGTGTTAACAGTGTCTGTAAAGACAGCCCGCGTGTCTCTGCCAAGGGAGGCTCTCCTGTCTCCGTGGTGATGATTTGGGATGTATACTGGTGTTTTCTGTGACTACTTTCTTGGCTCTCAGCTTAAAACCACTTCCATGGGAGTTGGCTCATAGGCTGCTCAGTAGAAAATGATGACTTTCCTAAAGAAATCATTTTCTGCTAACACTTCAGATCCAAAAATGAGAAGAGAAGCAAAACACGCACACAGACACCACACATACACACACACACACTCATACATGTGCAATTATTTTTTTGTCCTATTTATAACTCTGCTCTTGATGGAAGAAAAAAATAAACAACAGGATTAGCTGTATTCCCAGAGTGTAAAACCAAATAAAATCAACCAGAGGTGATTTTTAAAAAATGAGGCCATCTCTGGTGAGGAAATTTGTTTACTAGAATTAAGACATAGCAGAACGCAAGTGCAGGGCATGGGCATAGCGAATTCTGACCTTTGCCTGTGTGCACCAACATTTCAATGCCCAATTTTCATGATTAAAGAACAAGCACTCAGAAAATTTCTTTTGTAGCTACAACTATTGCAAAGGAGAATTTCTAAGCCAATACCACCTTTCATCAACAAAGAACAGAAAGTGAGAAAAAGTAGAGCAACATCTCTACATGGTTTTATTTGCTAGTATTTTTCCTAAGGTTTAAGATGGTAAAGACTCAATGCCTCTACTAGAGGAATGGGTTTTCTTAGCATTTTGATTGAGCCAATCAATACCTTCCAGCATCTACAAATTTTTTAGCATCCCTGGTACAAAAATTTAAGAAATCAAAGACTTAGATTCTTTTATCTATAACTCTGTATTTTGGAGATTAAGAAGTTCTGCTGAGCCTAATATTTTTCTGTAACATAGTTGTTAGCATATAGTGAAAGTGAAAGTGTTAGCTGCTCAGTCATGTCTGACTCTTTGTGACCCCATGACCTGTAGGCCACCACGTGCCTCTCTCCATGGGATTCTCCAAGCAAGAATACTGGAGTGAGTTGCCATGTCCTCCTCCAGGGGATCTTCCCAACCCGGGGATAAAACCCAAGTCTCCTGCATTATAGGCAGATTCTTTACCAGTCTGAACTACTACAAGCCCCAGACAAATCATGAATACACAATGACATGTATTTATATAACATCGTATCTTTGTCAAAGATGTTTCTGGACTCATTTATCCTCAACATGAGCATGTGTCAAAGGCAGGGAAGGTGATATTGGACCCATTTTACAGATGAGAACTTGCGGATCAGGTATAATAAATGTCCTTTTCAAAGTCATCCAGATGGAAG